TATTATTAATATAATAAATATAATTATATCAATACACTAGAATATATAATACATTATAAACTAATAATTACAATATCATATTACACTTATAATATCATATTATAATTATATTATAATTATAATATCATATTATAATTATATTATAATATTATTATAATATCATATTATGTGATAAAATATTACTATTAGAGTTATTATTATAATTATGATATTATTTGTTACAATATTACTATTATATTATATTATATTATGAGTCTAAATTTTAGATTGGGAAGATTGTAAATTTTAAATTTCATTAGGGGTATTATAGGTATTATGAAAGTCTCATTAATTGTATTATGTTGATTCCCAAATAATCTAAAAGCTAAAGTTATTTTTAGGTTGCTTTTGATTTTGACTGTAGATTCTTAAAAAAATTTTTAAAAAGCACTTTTGAAAAGATTTACCAAATACTAAAATCAACTTCTGCTATAAGAAGAAGTTGAATTTAGGAGGGAAAATCAATACCAAACTAAGCCAATGATGTGTCGATTAGCAAACTGGATATGTAAGATTTATGAACTATTAGCGAGAAATAACTTTTTCTTTTCTTTTTTTTTTGGCTAAAAGACTTGTTACTTTTTTTATATATATAAGAAACAACGCTTATTGTTCACTCCTCCTTATCATTTTTCAGGATACGATAGGTCGTCTTTTTAGGTAAAACGACATGGTTATACCTTTTTTTTTGAAAAAAATGGACATTACATTAATCAGAAAGATACAGTTACTAATTCAGACGTGAAAGGCCACAACGTATTTAGCAACACAACCCCAATTAAAGACCGGAACTGTCAGTAGATTCGATTGAAACGCTCTAGATGTAATACGTGTACTGATTTCTAAAAAGAGGAAACCGAAAAGGCACAAAACTAATCGAGCACACAAATGACTTTTTCAAACACACCACTATAATAGGTGAATAACTCCAATTGATTGAGATTGAGAGACTAAAAACACCGGGGACTACCACAACACCGCAAAGAAAGACTTACGGACTAGACGTAAAAACAACACCGGAAGATGGAAAAATCACATACGGAACC